TGTCAAACTCTGATATACACAGCCATGTGTCTAGCAGTGTTATTGGTATTCAAATAAGGCTTCATTCATTTACACTAATTTTATGGGGGTTTTTTTACTCAGCCATTTCTCCTCTAATTAATGGCTAACGGTAAGACAATGGTCAGTGCAAGGGATGTGTTTTTTATCCAGATTAAAAGTTAGGATCAGTTTGTATTTAAGCAAACTGTTAACCCATTGAGTATGTCCCATCCTTTGTTTTTAAAGGGACACTATTGGCACCCAAACCACTTAATCTCGTTGAAGTGGTCTGGGTGCAGTGTCCATGTTCCCATAGCCCTCGAATGTAAAACACTGCAGTTTTAGAGAAACTAATGTCTACACTGCAGTGTTAAGACTACTTCTATTGGCTGTCTCCCAGACAGCTACTGCAGACGCTTCCTGCTGTTTCAAGGAGTTTGACTTCATGAAATTACGCTGGACGTCCTTACGCTTTGCATGAGGACATCCAGAGTGTTTAAACACCCCATAGGAAAGCATTCAGTCAATGCTTTCCTATTGGGAAGGCCAATGTATTCGTGGTGCTCGCCATGCATGTTCATATGGTTCCTCCCATTAGCTCACATCTGCTGAAGAGGTGCTCGATCCAGCACAGTGAGACATCGGCGCTGGAATCAAGAAAGTGTTTAACCCCTTAAGGATACATGACATGTGTGACATGTCATGATTCCCTTTTATTCCAGAAGTTTGGTCCTTAAGGGGTTAAAGTTATTTTTTAACCCTTTACATGGCTGGGCAGGGGTATAGGGGCAGAGGGATTCAACTATAGTTTTAGGAATATGTTAGGAAGACATTAAAATTTAAATAGGAATTACAGTTCTAAGCAATTTGTAGCTTGCAAAGCAACTATATCAAAAGCAGTAAATAAGGAGAAGCATAAAATATTTGTCTTTGTGTTTATAGAGTTCTGTGTGTGACCTGGTGTAACCCTATCCATAAGATACTGCAGGCTCCCTCTCAGTCTCACCATTATCTTCTACAAGGCCCAAAGGGAGAATAATCTGCAGGGCCTCCCCATCCCCCTCATATCTACACCAACACATTCATAACTAGCTTCTTGTAAACATTTTATTAGACATACAAGCAGAGTTGCCCGTTCACATAAAAATAAGTAGCAATTCATCCATACACACTCATACAGAGTAGAATACCTCAGGTATGGCAGGTATTGCACCTGCTCTGGACGCAACTTGAAGGGGGCATCACCAGGGACATCGGGAGGGTGGCTGACCTGGTTCTACAAAATGACTTATTAGTTGCCCCATAGTCCCAAGGCTAGATGGGGACTTGGAGATTAAGTACTGTAACAGGCAGTTTAGCTCATACAGTCAGGAACATCTCATCTGATTCTTTGCTGGCAACGTGGGGACTGGCAACAGCACCAGTCACTAAGTGGGGGAGCCATGAGGACTGGGGTCAGTCTCCACTCTCCAGCCAGAGAATGCCATGCGGCCATTGCAGTAAGTCTAATTTTCACACTAGTGCATACACACAGCTAATCAAGGAATCCCCCTTTGGACAGATAGAAAAGGGGGGGCATGACTGCAGTCCACAGGCAGCTGAATGGGCTGGACAGAAAAATGGTTCCATTAAATACAAGGGGAGGATGGGATTTTCCTATGGATTTATTGCGGATTTGGTGAAGGGATCTTCAGTGGGGTAATGCTAGGGCCAGATATTCTCAGATTAGGTTTCCTTAATTGTATTATGGTCGCATTGGTTCTAATTCACACACTGGTCACAACGCTTTGGGTCATGCGCAGACTTATGATTTGACCCACGCTATTAAACATGACCTGGCTCGTTGTCGTGTGTTGTTCAAACAGCTGACCTTGGTTTGTTTTTCTCAAGTTTGCTGGCTTCAGAATTTGTTTGTAAAGCTGTGGCCATTGCCCTATCCAACTGAACAAGTGGTATCCTTGTTATTTGGACAGGGTGGCAGGTTTCAGTATGGTATGCGACGGTGGAGTCCAGGTTGGTCTGCAGTCAAGACTCTTGTTGTTTCACAGTCACGTGTTTAAGAGGAACCTGTGAAGAGGCTTGCTGGAAGTTTTGAGAAATCATTTGAGCACATAATAGACCAATTTGCCTCAGTGGAAGCAAGGACGGTGCAATTGTAAGTTTAATGTAGTGTCATCATTTCTTGAGTAAAAGATTAACAAGCTTGACTTGTGTTTTTTAGCCTTTTTTTAATTTTTACAATTATTTTATATTAAAGAAGAATATGTTATATTATGGTAAATATAGAATTCGGCTTGTCTTTTTGTAATTTGAGGTGTCCTATGGAAATAGGGGCCCAAAATGAATAATGTAAATATAATCCTAGACTTTTTGCCTCCACAATTTACAGTTGGAAATACGCAGTTGGGCAGGTTGTGTTCCCCAGGCATCCACTAGACCCACCTTAATTCATTAAATTAAGAGATGTTAAAGCAAGATTAATCAAGTTATAAATCACATTTTCACTGTTACAGAGTCTGTTGGGGGCATTTTTTTTTGAATTATTCTTTATTTTTGTTGTGCATGGGTATAGCAAAAGAGATGTAATATGTAAGAAAGGTGCAATGGGACAACATGTCATTACATAGAAGTGTATATAGAGGCCAGCAGATTTATAGGTAAAGGTAAGGTAAGAAAAAACAGTGTAGACGAAGTTAGATGTTGGGTCAGGGAGTAAGTATGCTTTGTGCACTGAGATTTATCTACATAATGAGGATAGTGAGAAAACAAGACAAAGTATTTCCCGCAGGTGGCCACTATAGTGGTAAAATGAGAATACAGAGGCACACAAGGCAAAAGCAGAGTGATAGCATGCAAAATAACATATAGCGAAACATATTGATTAATTCTCCCATCAACCTCTAACAGTGGGAAAGGTGAGTGAGCAGGAACTGTGGATGGGACAGTCCGTGGGCCCAAGTCACCCCATACTCTCGATGGACAGATCATAGTCCCACGTTAAGGAAGAATAGTGCAGGCTTCTGGATCCAGTTCCCTTGGTTCTGTATTCTTATGCTCTTCTTCAGCAGTAGACCGCATCACTGTCTGCCTCTGTGCCACCTTAGACAGGATTGGGAGACACCGCATGCTCTTGCGCTGATCTAATGCCTTCTTGACCACTGGTGTCGATGTCTGTTGGTGAGAGCGTCGTCCAGGTGAGTAAATGCTCGTCTGCATTGGGGCAAGATTGTGCTGTCTAATCTGGTCGCTAGATCTAGTGGAGCTGTGCTGGAGCTGTTGATGCTCGCAGTGTTCGCCATCTTGGATGAGGCACCGCGTGGTTCCACTGCCTGTGCAGCCTGCATCCATCCACCAGCTGTTTCGGGGCCTGGTATGGGTGGACCCGGATCACCCTCGCCGGTCCGAGGGGGGGTAACAGGGCACATGTATGTTGTTAGCTTCAGGGCGCCTCCGGAGTGGGAGATCGGTTACCTCTCCCATCCGAAGCGCATCAGGCCACATACTTCAGGTAAGGGTCAGTGAGGGCTTGCCGGGTCACTGATTGCCACACTGTATGCCCTCTGTCATGAGGGTCTGGTTGGTAGCTGATGCTGGTCAAAATCGAACATGGTAGCGTTATGAGAGACTGTGATGGTCAGGATTGTTTGGGAGTTCATGTAAAACAAGAATCTCCGCCATGATGGTCAGGCCCCCCTCGGGGGGGATTTTTCTCTCTATTCCAGTCAACACTTGCTTTCTACATGGAGACCATAGGTTAATAAGCTTAGCAGTTATAAAGTTCCTTAAACAATCCTTGGTCAATGCGGTTTCATAGAGAAGAGATATGTCCTATTACCTAATCCTTGACTGTTAGATCAAATTTAGGCATAACATACTATAGTGGTAGAGGTGCAGAACCTGGTGTGAGTTCTATGTGTTTCAGACATCCTTGCAAACCCTGTCTATATGAGGATGTGTACAGTATGGCATAAATCCATAGCAAATTATTTAATGGATATTTCCCACTACACACTTAAATATCCAAGTTTAAAAGTCAAAAGGACTTCAGCTGTTAAATATTTTTGTGCCAGAAATGTTCAGATTATTTTTTTTAGATAATGTTACAATGTTTAACTAGCACACTGCAACCACAATCAATGCGTCTGCTCTTAATGCACGAATTGCAATCAGCAGGTGTATATTACAGAATGTACCTACTGCCCTTTAGTATCTGCGGGACTCCAATGTCGGTCCTCTGCCCGTGGGATTGGCATTAACAGTAGACGTACAAAGTGAGCAACTCAGTCACAAAACAAAATTCCAATATACACCATGGGTAGACATAATGGTGATCTCATCGTCTGGTGATTTCATCGTCATGATTAGTTTACTAGTTTTACTGTTTTGAAAAACTCATATTTGTGTTCAGCGAAGTCTCCCGAGTATAACAATACATCCTATGTACAGGTTTTATGGTGTTTTGGAAAGTTAGGTGGTTAAATATAGGTGATATAAAGAAAAAAACAAAAGGAAAAAGTTGTGTGTGAAGTCACCAAAAAAATAATAATGAATTGTACAACCTGTATAGTAGTTGGTATAATCCACCATAAGCACCATATATCTGGTGGAATAAAACACAAATATAGTGCAGTACAATAAGCACAGGCAGAGGGTGCGCAGTGGTAGAAAACTCATTAGAAATTGGTAGATTCAGGCATGTCTCCCCATAATGCTTGCACTCCTGTTATGATGCAAAAACCCGGTGCATATCATGCAAAATTATAGCAAATACTGTGTTCATTGTGGGAGATGCTGAATAAAAGATACCTTTTTTTTCACCATATTTCAAAGTACCTGGAGTGCTGCCTTTACACAGTATTTGAGATACACACACACACACACACATACACATACACATACACATACACATACACATACACATACACATACACATACACATACACATACACATACACACACATACACACACACACATACACACACACATACACACACACATACACACACACATACACACACACATACATACACACATACACACATACAC